CCTTCGGCGGCTCCGAAGCCTCTCATCCCTTCACACGCCCGAGCACGGCGTTCGTGGCGGGGCGCAGGGGGCGGGGGGGGGGTTCTCCTGCTGGGCCCTCGGTCGCCCTCCGCGTGTGCGGGGCCGCAACGCCAGCTGGGCTGATGGGAGCTGTAATCCAACGGCAGCTGCGGAACTACAAGTTGCCCCTCCCAGCGGCAGAAACGCCTGAATTAACTTGGGCGGCCCGGCCCCGATCCCAGGCTCAGAGGCGCGCCGGCTCCTCCCCTGCTCCTTCAAAACACACCCAGAGGGCCGGATGGGCGCTTGCCCGTGCCCCCCCCCATGCTGATCTGTGCACGTGAACCCTTGGGAAACGGGGAAACTTCCAACATTAGCAGTAGTGGCAGGGGCCCCGGGACACTGCTTTGCCCGGGGCCCATGATGCTGTTCAGACGGCCCTGGCCAGAGAACGGGTCCACGTGCTTTCACCTTCCCCCCGGGTTGGCGTGCAGCACCGCTCCCATCATCCCCGGGAGCACGCGGGGCAAGCCTGCCTCCGGCCAAGCGCCCCTCTGCTCGCGGGCGGGCAGCGGAGCGCTTCGAGCCACGCGGGTCCTTGGCGCCCCCCGCTGGGGCCGAGAGCCCCCGGGAGGGCCAGCTGGAAGCCCGGCCGGCCGGGGCTTGGCACGCGTTTGGCGAGCCCACGAACGGGGCGGGGGGCCTCCCGCGGCTGCCGGCACTGCAGCTGGAAAACCAGGAGCTGGGCCCGCTGCACCCCGCAAGAGTCCCTGGAAGAGAAAATGACCGGCCGGGGAAGGACTCCAGGGCTCCGCTCCGAGGCTGGGTGGGAAGGGGCAGTCCGGGGCTCGCCTCCCTGCATGTGGGGCTCACAACACGCGGCACGGCGGGGAGGGCCGCCGCTCAGGGGCTCCCCGAGGGCCGTTTGCGTGCGCGCCTGGCCCCCATGGCCGCGTCCGCTCGCAGGCTTAGGCTATTCCGCTCACGCTGCGGAGCTTACCTTGGAAAAGCGGGTCCGGAGCGGTCCTGTCGTGCAGCAGAGCCAAAGAAGGTGCAGCTGATGCGGAGCGTCCGCAGAAGCGCCTCGCCCCCCCCCGCCCCGGGAGACTTGGCCCGCAAAGCCTGGCAGAACTGCAGAAGCGCCCGGAGACACCTGCGGTGCTCCGCGCTGGCTGCTGCCGGGGGGGAGGCAGCCAGGCACGGCACGGCACGCCGGGGCCGCCCCGCCCCCTCTAAGCTGCCCCCAGGTGCGCCAGAGGCGGAGAACAGACGAAAACCGTGGGCCCGTGCGGGGGGGGGGGGGCGTCTTGGCCTTTGCGCGGCTGCGGAAGGTCTTGGGCCTCTTCTCCCGCCTGCGCTCCTGGCGCACTGACGCGCGCTCCGGCTCTGCTCTAGAGTCGGCCCCACAGGTGCAACGCGCAGCCCTCCGGAAGTCTCGCCAGGCCCTCCGGTTCCCAAGGGGGCCCTGCCCCCTTTCCTTCGGCCCCACTGCCCTGCCGTCAGCACTTGCTGGATGTCTCCCGCCTTCTGCACTTTCCTGTCCTGTCCTGTCCTGTCCTGTCCTGTCCTCTCCCGCCCCCAGCGGAGCAGTGGCAACATGCCTTGAAGGGCTCCCGTAGCTCTCCGTAGCCTACTTCAGAGTAGAACAGGAGGAGGAGGCTGCCTCTTGATGTCAAGCGGACACAAGCGCTTGCTTCCGGTACCCCAGGCATTTTTACGGAGACTTCCCATTGTTTTATTCACGGACTCCTAGAATAGCAGAGTGGGAAGGGGCCATGAAGGCCATCGGGTTCCACGCTGGTGCAGGACACCAAGTCACACCCTCCCACTCAGAGGGCTGCCCGGTTTCTCCTCCTCGGTTGTCTAGTGTGGGAGAACCTACCACCTCTCTGGAGAGCTGGTTTACTGTTGTAGTACCGGCACAATCCAATAAAACATATTCATATCCTGTACATCGAATCTTTCCCTTTATTTATTTATGAATTTATATGCTGCTGAATAACCTGATGGGGCTCTCTAAGAGGTGATTAGATTGTCTTTTTCTGGTTGTCCACCTGTTGGGACCCCCCCAGAGACAGGGCAGGACATGATCCAGCGAAGAAACGCAGGGCAGCATTTGGGCAGAAAGAGGAAGCAGTTTCTCTCACCCCACGCCCACCTTGCCTGTGAGACCGAAGGAGCCAGAAGCCAAGCATCACGCGGGCTGCCTTCCTTTTCCCACAACCATTTTTATTAAAGTGTAAATCCAGGCGAAGTTAAAGAACTGGGGGCACCAACTCCGCGGCCTCATGAGCCGAGGGGCAGCCAGGCCTGTGCAGGAGGGCAACGGCGGCATCCCGAGGGGGGGGGCGAGCAGGGGCACGGATCACCCGGCCCGTCCAGCCCTGAGGGGCGCGGCTCTCGGGGAAAGGCAGCTGCTTCCAGGTTGGTGGGTGTCGACTTCAAACTCAGAACTAAACTCAGCAGGCGGGAAGGAAGGGGAGATGTGGGAAAGAGGAGCGCACGTTCCTGGGTCTGCCCTCCCCCAGCCAGGCGGCCGCACTCGGGGACACCCCCTCCCAGGATGCTCCATGAGCTGCTCGCTCGGAGCAGAGCATGCTGGAAGAGCGAGGCTCTCCGGGGGCCATTGGCAGGGGGGATGCTGGACACCGAGGGGCTTCTGCCTGTCCCTGCCCCGCTTCTCGGACCCTCGGTCGGGAGGGGACCGGGCGGAAGCGCAGGCCCGCTGGCGACGGGGGCCGTCTGCTTGTGCAGGGCGGGGGCAGTGAGCGTGGGCCTCTTCTTGGCGAGGAGGAGTTTCGTGCCGGGCGCTTGGGAGAGTGAGTGGAAGGACGGGGGCAGGGAGCGTGTGTGTCTGCCGGGGGAGACGGGGGTCGTTCATTCTGCTTTTGCTTTGGCTGTTGGCAGCTTCGACAGCATCCTGGGGAAAAAGAGGAGAAAAATCACGCAGGGAAATGTGGGTGATCGTTTCCCCACATCCACATGCCTCTCCACGTGTCAAGCCGCCACGCTAACCAACAGCGTTTGTTAACCCGAGACAAGTCACAGTTTACAATCGAAAAACAAATCACGGATCTTTTCTTGGGTTATTTGCGGTTCGCAAGCCATGGCTCATTAGTACGGCTGGCTTCACAGAACACAACCACCCACGTGCCCATGACTTGGCAGCTTGGGTGGCCCCAGCCAGGGGGAAGGCAGTCCCCGGAGGCTGCCCCCTGGGGTGGCTCTAAGGGCCTGCGCTGCGCCGGGAGCCGGCCCAGCCCGTCCGTCCCGGCCTGGCTGCAGCCTGCAGGGCTCGTGACCCGGACGAGCGCGATGACAGGTGGCGCCCAGAGATTTACGCAGAATCCAGAAATGCATGCACTGGACACGAACACTTGGAAGAAGACGCCTGTGGACACGCATGGATTTTCACGTGAAGCCAAACATTGCTCACACCCCGAGACGGGCTTGAGCCAGAAGGCACTTAAGAAGGAATGCAGAGACTTTGGCAAGCGTCAGCGTTGCCGGCTCGCACTTCCGGGCCATCCAAACGCACTCAACTGCACGGCTCCGAATCCCACAGCCGCACTCTGCGTGTGCGGGGCACGGGGCCGAGCGCGTCTCCAGAGCGCCCTTCCAGCCTCCCCCGCCCTTCCCCTTCCATGGGTGGCTTGTGCGAAATCCCTTGCAGCACCCCCTCCGTCTGCGGGGCGCAGCAAAGCAGCCAACGCGTTTGGAACGATGCACTTCCCAGATCGGTGACCTCACACGCCACGCACGGGCACCGCAGGGGTGCTTGCCTGGAGCTGCGGCCGGGCGCTGGGCAGCGCCCATGGGGTGGAATTGCAGGGGGACCCGGGGGCAAGACTTACTTTGCTCGGAGGTTGCTCAGCTGGTTCCTCACCAGCCCCACATACTGGTCAATCTGCGCCTGAAAGGGGAGGGCATGCTCAGTGGGGGCCGTGCAACGGAGGACATGGGCCAGAAATGCTCTGACCCCCAAACCCGGGAAGCCCCCTTCCCTTGGACGCTTTGCTCGGAGGGAAACCAGGCAGCTGCCGGCACCCCACGGGGCTTTGCTGCGCCAGGCGTCTGTCCCCAGCACAGCCCCCGAAGGCCCGTCCCAGCCGCGGAGCTTCCCCCGCACACCTGGCACCCTCCCCCATCCTTCTGGCCAGCTTGTGGGGAAGCTTCGTGGCCACAGGTAAGGGGCAAGCCGATTCCCTTGATGCTTCTGAGCAGTCAGAGGTTTTCAAAGGCGCCCCTAAATTTCTATTTTAAAATGCAAGCAGCCTGAAGGCTTGGATTTCCAAAAGCTGTGAAAAGGGGAGAGAGAGAGGCAGCCGGCCACAGACCGCAGCTGCCAAAATTTGGCAGGCATTTCCCCCGTGCCAAAAGGTGGAAACGCCCCACCTAAAACTCAGGCGCTCGCAGGAGGCACTCGAAGCGCCAGTTCCGGCTATTTTCAAGGCACCTACCTGATGCTGCCTGTACAGCAGAGGGAAGGTAAATGCACTTATGACACCTGGAGAAGGCAGCAAGGAGAGAGGTCAGCATCGCACGTGGCTTCCCTCAGCCCCCCAGAGAAACCGGTGGCCTTCCCGGTGGCCACGGGGCAGGGTCTCGCGTCAGCCTGCCCCCTCCGCAGCCGGGTGAGGCCAGCCACGCACCACGGCTGGAATCTGGACGGGGGGCCCAACTGCCGTGATCCGCCCAGAGGGCTTCAGCTACGGGAGGGACAGAGGACATGACGTAGCCACGGGTCCAGCCCGCTCGGCTGTCCCCTCTGGCCCACCACGTACCCAGGATAAGCAGGGTCAGCCCATTGAAGACGGCTCCCACGTACGTGAGGATGTAGAAGAAGAAGGCGAACTGCGAGTGGACACAGCAAGGAGAGAGCGGTGAGCGGCCCTGCCTGCCTTCGGAGCCGTTCCGCAGCAAAACCACGGCCTGCCACGTCTCTGAGTGGCAGGCCTCCCGACGGGAGGATGGGGAACGGGCGCCTGGTGCGCTGCCCGGGGGAAGCCACCTCGCCACTGTTGCAAGCCGGGCGCTGGGCGAGGGGGAGGCTACCCGGACCCCCGCCCGATCCCAGGGGCCAGTTCGCGGGTGCTGCACGGCATGGGAAACAGGCGGGGGGGGGGGGGTGGCGGGGCGCACGGACCAGCTTCTCTGCGCAGAGAAAGCTGCACCTCGTTTCCCCAAATCACGCTCCGGGGACCCGGCGAGTGCAGTGCGCACCTTGATGGACTCTACCATGTCATCCACCAGGAAGAGGCGCTGCAGGGACTTGGTGCCCGACGTGACGTAGAACACGACCCGCTCCGTCAGGTGCTCCAGCTGCTCCTTCGGCAGCCCCAGGTCGGCGTCGATCTGGGCCCTGGACAGGAAAGGGCAAAAGGAAACGGCAGGTGGACAGGCAGAACAAACCCCGTCTGCGTGGCTCGGATCCGGAGCGTCCCTTCCCACCTGGGGGTGAGCACTCAGTCCTGGGGGATGGGCAGCACTGCCAAGCAAGGTGCAGGGCTGTCTGTGCAGCGGGGGGCCCTTGAAGCAGCTGAGCGGAAGCTCGGGTCAAGGTGAGCCCCCTGGGGTTCCCAGGCGCCCCCCCAGCCCAATCACCCAGCACATTAGAGGCTGCAGCACAGAGGGACCGGGCCCTGCAGGGGTCACATGCCGGTGACAAGAGGCCTGAGTGGGGGGCGGCCTGTGCCCCCCCCCCCGCCGACTTGGCGCCTGCTGCAGGTGCCCGGGGTACTCACTGGAAGGGGTTCTTCCCCTCTCCCCGGTGGATGGCCTGGAGCACCTTGCTGTAAACCCTGAGAGAGACGGTGACGCTGAGGGCGGCCAGCGAGACGTAGGCGGCCACGCTGACGATGCTGAAGTGCAGCAGGCAGAGCAGCGCCACCATCAGGGCGGTGAACACGCAGGCCGACTTGCGGGTGTCCCGCCAGTACACCAGGTCTGCCACTGCAAGGAGATTAAGACACGAAACGCGGCTGCGTGACGCCAGGCTCGGGAGGCAGAACCCGCCAGCTCCAAGCTGGAGTGGAATCGAGCCTTTAAAAGCAAGTGGGCAGCCCACCCAAGTCTCTAGTCCTTAGGACTGCACTGAGGAGAGGGGAGAAACTGGTCCCCCTCCAAGACGTAAAAGCGACGGCCACGCTGGCTTTTTCTTCCCAGGAGCGATTCAAGACGCTCCGCACACCCAGAGCAATGCGATTCGCTGAGGGATCCCGGACTTGCACCGGCAGGTCTGACTCCTGCGACGTGACTTCCAAGCTCCGCGTCCCACCGCTCAGCCCTGCGTCAGGGTCGCCCGTACCCAGCCGCACCTTTCTTGCCTCCCAACAATCCCGTGGACACGCCATTCCTGATCCACTCCCCTTCGACGTATCTGCATAAAATACTCCTGAGCATTTCACGGTGTCACGGCAGCCAAAGCCCGCCGTCAAAGCACGCGAGGCGCCACCGTCCCTTCCAAGCCCGCTCCACCTGGGAGGTGCGGCTGGGCCAAAAATCTCCCCAGCGGGAGTCCAAGGCGGGGGGGGGGACGGGAGGAAGCCTCGGGCGACAGTCCCCGCCAGGCCAGGCCAGGCCTTCTGAGCGCGAGACCACGGGGAGCCGGGCTCCCGGCCCCGATAATCCGCCCACCCGTGATTCCTGCCTCGGCCTGCCGGGTGCTTGCACAGGCCCAGCGCCGGGTCCCTTTGCTCGGGGCCCCGACCTGCCCCTTGGCGGCCGCATCCCCAGCGAATGCCAGCAAAGCCCGGGACGGCCACGGGCACCGAGGCCAGACCACGTCCCCTCGCGGCTGCCCCCCCGGGGGCTAGCCCAGCGTGCGGGGCGCGTCCTTCCTGCTCCCGGGCAGAGCGGTGGACGGGGCCCATCACTCCCACCCCGGAGCTGCCCAGGGGCCTCCTGCCCGGGCGGCTCACAGATCACGGGAAAGCACTCCGCGCGCCCTCCGTGGCACTCTCGGCGGGGGCTTCCCACGTTCTGCTTGGGCACGTGCCCGGCGGTCCCTGGAGGAGCCCTCCCGCCTGAGCGCACTGTCGCACGGCTCCCCCTGGCCGACCCCCCAGCCCCTGGCCTGAGGGAAGGGCCGCGTCAGGCCACCGTGCGGGGCGGACGGCTGCCCTCCGGAGGGGCCTGCCGGTCCTGGCGTGGGGGAGGGGGCGGAAAGGGAGAGGCGGGGGAGGGGAGCGCCTGCAGCTGTCGGCCGTCCCCTCCCGTCCCTCCCGTCCCTCCCGCCCTGCCACCCGCCATAACTGACAGGCCCAAGTGCCAGGGGGCTGCTTGCGAGGCCCGTGCGGGCACAAAGGGGGGCGAGGGAGGGAGGGAGGCCCAGCCCTGGGGTTCGGGGGCCCCGGCCACCCATCCGCTGCACCGGCCACATGGCCCCTCCAAGCCCGCCCGCTGGCTCCCCGGCCTGGCACCCCCCACACGTGGCCGTGCGTGGGTCCGGACACTCGGCCCCGCGCCCCACCAGTTGCCGCTCCCCCAGCCGGGGCAGCCGAATGCAAGCCGTTCGCTCGCGCCGGACCCCGTGCCGGCCAGCGAGCCTTCCCCGCCCCCCACCCAGAAGCTTCCCCCACAGACCTCCTCCCCGCACGGCCCCCTCCTGCCCTCCCCGCGGCGCCCCCTGGGGGGCTCTGGAGCAGGGACCCCACCTGTGCCGGCCATGGCGACCCTGTGCTCGCCGCCGGGCTGCTCCTGCGGCTCTGGGGGCAGCGGCACACGGCCAGCCTGGCGGAGGAGGGGCGCCCGGCCCCGGGAGGGGCCTTCGGCCACACATCAGGTGCGGGGGCTATTTATAGCTGATGGAGCCCAGCTGCCCTCTCCCATCACAGAGTCCCCCGTCTTGCCCGGCTCGGGTGGCGGGAGGGGGCTGGCAACAGGGGGCCCTCAACAGCCGCTGGGGCGGTGAGCTGGTAGTTCAGGGCTGGCAGCACGCACGCCCCCCCCCCCGCAGCTGGGGGGGAGCCGGGCGCGTTTCCTCGGAGGGGCCGCTCCTCCTCGCTGGGTGAAGCGCCCAGGCCCCCCTCCCTGGGGACCCTCCTCCAGCAGGTGCCCCCGGTTCGCACCCAAGCCGCTCGCGCAGGACGGGGCGTGAGCAGGAACCGGAGATGAGGAGCTGGGAAAGCCGCTGCGCCCCAGAGGGGAAGCCGGCTGGGTGTGCGGGAGCCAGGAGGCTCCCCTGTGGGTCCAGGGCCAGCCGGCCGGCCGTGGGGGCCCTTCGGAGGCGCATGCCGGAGCCCCTCCTGCCTCGATTTGTGCAGCACTCAGCACAGCCGCTAAATATACCCACTGACTCAGCCAGCTGCAATTCTCTTCCGGGCACAGTGCCAGGAGCCGTGAATGGGAACTTTTCCGGGGCGAGGCGGCCCTGCTCAGCGGCACGCTGCAGCTCCGCAGTGGGCGGGGGGGGGGGGCGGCAGCAGCAGTGGCTGCTGGAACATGCAGTCACCATTGTCCAGGAATCCCTGGAAAGCAGTCAAAGAACGTGTGTGCCTGGGAGCGGCAGAAGGCCACCCGGCAGGCAACCAGGCTGTTCGTTCCTCTTTACACCCTAGGAGGTTTCTAGTCCTCATGAACCTAGTGAAGTAATAAAATGAAAACATGCTCCCACAGTCTGCAAAAGGCTTGCAAGCCAGAGATGGGAATGCCTGTGTGTGAGAGATGAGTGTGTCAGCCCTTCCTCCCCACATTTCTCCAAACTGCAGCCCGCAGAGAGAAAATTGGGATCACAAGATTGGAATCAGCAGCTAAGAGCGCAATGTTACACAAGTTCAGAAAGCAGAGAAGGCTGTAACACCCAACGTGTCCCGGGCAGCGGCCTCATACGGAAGCAGACCGGGGGCTGTCCGGCCCAGCACCGTGGATCGGCCAGGACACCCACGCAAGGGCCGAGGCCACAGTCTTCCTGGGAAGAGCCAGGAAAGAGTTCGCCCCTGGACAGCCGCTGCTGCCCGCCAGTGCAGACAAAGCTGGTCTCGACGGAGCGGCTTTCAGCTCCCGTCCCAGAGGGAGGGTCACCTGCTCCCGCGTGCCAGAACCGGGCCAGGCTGCTGTGCAAGCGCCGCCATTTCCCTCGTCCGCCTCCTCCTCCTGGGACCAGCAGAGCTTTTCATGATGGGCCACGAGGTTGGTGGCCGGTTTGCAGGGGATGCCATATGAGGCGAGACTGAGGGAACGGGGTCTCTTCAGCCTGGAGGAGACTCAGAGGGGGTCTGTTGGCGACATGCAGGTACATGAGGGGGCGTCACACGGAGGTGGGGAGAGACCTGTTCTCCCCTGCAGAGGAAGGCAGGACACGCTCCAACGGAGCAAAGCTCAGGGAGCCAAGGTTCAGTTTGGGTGCCAGTAAGCACTTCCTGGCAGTCGGGACCCTGAGGGTGTGGAACGGGCTTCCCTGGGAGGTGACTGAGGCCCCATCGGTGCGGGTGCTCAAGGATAGGCCAGACGTGCACCTGGCGGGCATGTCGTGAGCGAAGCCGGCTGGTGCCGGGGGTCAGACTAGATGGCCCGGGGGACCCCTTCTGACTCGCGCTGTTTCTGTTTCTATGATGCTGGGGCCCCAAGGACACCCCCTGCTCACCCATGATGCACACTTCCGGAGCGCTCCCTGACCGGCCCGGCTTCTCTTGGTGCTGCTCGGCGACTGGCCCAGGTGCCGACCCCTCCTCCTCGGGCTCTGCCTCCACCTCGTCACCCCGCGGTGGGAGCCGGGGGGGCTCCGGCGAGGTCAGCGCTTCGGGTGGGACGGCGCCAGCACCACAAGGACCGCTCTCTTCTGCTCGGGGCGCGAAGGCGTCGGGGGGCAGGAGGTCCTCCAGGGGAGAATCTGGAGCAGAGTGGACAGTCCTCACGCTAGAGGCCGCAGCCCTTTCGCCGCGGGGTCAGCCTGGAACGGCGACCGCCCCGGTTCCGTCCACCCCGCTGCGCATCTCCGGTAATACCAGGACCAGGCGTGGTTCACGTTTTGCTTGCCGCTGTCTGCACCTCCTGTGCGCAAGGTGTGGGCGTCTGCCACACGGACACACACGCGCACCGAGGAAAACTCCTCGCGGTGCAGCCGCTTGAACCCAAGCCCGCAAAGGGCGTCGCGGGCCCACGGGTGGCCACTCCAGAGCCAGCCAGGCTGGGGCTCGGCTGTTCGAACTCCTTGCTGCCACACCGTCCACCCAAAAGCAAGTCAGGGAGGAGGGCGAGGGGCCCGGGAGGGGCCCCGCAAAGGTCAAGCCACACGCCACCCGCGGTGGCAGCCCGGACCTGTGCCCGCTTAACCGCCTGTGGCTCCCGCAGCGCCCAGCGGCAGGCCGTGGCTGGGCACCGCAGCCGCCGGTGGGCTGCCTGGTAACGTGCGCTGGCCCAGGGAGTCTCTTGCGTCCCAAAGGAGAGAAGCAGGTCACAAAGCACTTTTTGCTTTTCAGGTTGGAACCGTGACAGACGTGCACTAGGTTTTAAACTGCCTCATTTGGGAAATTCCTGGGACAGAAACATTCCAGCCTCCGGCACACTGACCATGCGTGGGACCCTGTCCCTGAGAATGAGCCACAGCCCCTGGCGTTCTGGCCTGCTGAAGCCTTCCAGAGGCAGCTCTGTGAACCCATCGTCCTGACTGCCAGCGTTTCATCCACCTCAGTTTCAGGCAGGATCTCGCCTTCTGTGGTTTCCCGTCTGGGAGCCAGGGAGGTGCCCAAGGAAACGAGGGCAAAGCCACGCTTCCGAGTCAGGGCCCTGCCCGCCTCCGTGGCCATCTCTGCTCCCCTTGGGGGGCACCTGTCCAGTCTCAGGGCTCCCCTGCCCTCCGTACCTGAGCATGACGTGCTGCCGCTGCTGCTGCTGCCGCTCCTCCGCCCCCCCTCCAGCGCCTGCTCCACGGGGCTGCGAGGCGGGGAGGCCCGGGCCTCCGCTATGTCCCGTCCGTGGGTGCAGTCCGTGTGGCCCTCCCAGCCCGAGAAGGGGTCCAGGCCTTGGCAGTGCCCCACAGGTGGGGCGCCCTCCCCCTCGGGGGACGGGCAGAGGCTGGGAATGTTCTCCAGGCTGTCCCCCAGAGCCGGCACAAAGGTCTCGCAGGTCTCGGTGCGGGGCAGCGGGGCACGTGCCCGGCGCGCCTGGGAGTCACGCCGGCCCCGAGCCCCATGCTCCCCTGGGGTGGGGCTGCTGCCGGGGGGCGCCGCAATGGTGATGTAGGAGAAGGTCAGCTCCCGCGGCGTCCCCCATTCCACAGACGCCTCCTCCTCCTCGTCCTCGGAGAACTCCCGCGCCGTCTGCAGTTCAGGGAAGTCTGATTCGTCGTTGCCACCTGGGCACGAGAGGGAAAGGTCGCCACCAGCTGCAGTCCAGGCCTCACCTGCCTGGCCACCCGCCCGTCCCATGGGCCAGAGGCAGAGGCGTGTCTGGAGCGCCCCGGAGGCTTCGGCACAGGAGGCCCGGCTGCGGAAGGGGGAGTTTGCACAGGCCCGGCGCAGAACGAGCTGGTGCTCTGGTCGCAGAACGCTGGCTGAGTGTTGGGAGGGGTGGAAGATCGGGGGGCGCAGAGTGCCCACCCGCTGGCTGGAAGCCTGGGGGAGGGTCGCCGTGCTGCAGCACCCTGTTGCAGAGCTCCCCTTTTATGGCCCGTTGCTGTTGGCAGACCCCCCTCCCTGCTTGAATATGACGTGCACCCAAAGGGAAGAAGCAAGGGCAGAAGGACAGCTGGGGAAAAGGTGACGTGAGCCCCTACGAAGGGCCACCGGGGGCCACCTGGCCCAGCCGCTTTCTACACACAAGTCCACAAGCAGCACCAGAGACCCCCCACTCCGGCTCCTGAGCCAACTGGTAGGCCTCCCCTGACCATGGAGGCTCGATCTTGCAGGCATACCTAACCACCGTGGAGCGAGCTCTCGGCCACGCCGCGCTCTCTCTCCATGGAGCTGCCCGCCCACCCACCCCAGCAGTGTCCCTGGGGAGGGGGACAGACAGAAGCGGGGCTGCGGGAAGACCACGGCCCTGTCTGCCTTTGCACGCAGCCGTGGCAATCAGGCTGCCGTCTGCCCTTCCGGGACTCGGGGTGCCTCCCGATGACACGCCTGCCCTGAACCACCTGCCCTGAAAGTGCTGGACCAGGCCTGCCCTCTCGCCCCGCGCGCGGCGGCCACTCACCGTCGGTCGAGTCAGGTGTAGTGGAGGTGGTAGAAGGAGATTCTTCTGCGGAGAGAGAAGCGGGCTTAGCGGCCGGCACACAGAGCCTTGCCCAACCTGGCGCCCTCCGGAGGCGCTGCACTCCGACTCCTAGCAGCCCCTGCCAGCCTATTGGAGCGGCAGCCCTACCACCTCAGGCAAGGCTGCAGCCGCACCTGGACACCCGAGACCAGGCGCCTGCACCGTGTCCCCAGCTCTTCAGGCAAAGCACTGTGAGCACCGGGAAGGCCCACCTTTGAATCCCCCCTCAGGTACGTGGCTCACCTGGGGCCCTTCCACCCTGGCCTCCCTCACAGGGTGGGTGTGACAGCTGAAGCGAGAGAAGAGCTGTGCCAACGCCCCCAGGAGCCTCGGGAGGGCGGGTGGAGGGGGCTGAAACAGAGCGCAGCACCAGGCCGCCCGCCCGCCCTGGGGACCCCATGTCTGGAGAGGCTCCTTGCGGGAGGAGTGGGAGTCCGGGAAATGACCCCCATGTGCGCCGAGGGCCAGGAGCGCGGAGCATGGAATGCCACCGCCTGGACCTCTGCCACGGCCAGTGCGGCTCCGGGAAACCCGCCCCGCAGCCCCTGCGGCCGCTCCAGAAAGCGAGGGAGGGCGAGCCCCAGGGTCGGCGTGCCCACGGCTGGCCACCAGGGGGCGCTTTGCCGCCGGAGCAGGGCTCCCCGCGTAGCCACCGCACAGCGAGCGGGCATCCGCAGGGGCGGGATCCGGCTGGAAGGGGCTCCTGGGCCACGGACTCTTCCGCTCTGGAATCCAGCGTGAGTCAGCTTAGAGCCGCGCAGTCTTGGGACGAACACCAGCCTCCCGGTCCTACCAGTTTACTCATCCGTGTTAAAGGATGTGGTAGTACAGAGTAGAAACGGGGCGCTTTACTTCGCCAGGGCTGCTGCTCTGGAAACTTACAACCTGAACAACTGCAAGGGAGACGAAGGCGGAGCGGGAGGGGAGGGGAGGGGAGGGGTATGCAGCGTGGAGTGTTCCACCCCAGCCCAAACCCTCTGGGCAGGGCTCTGCCGGGGGACAGGGCATGAGGCAAGGAAGGGTGCCATATACTTTTTGGGGAACCCTCCTCAAAATCTTCTCCCAGTCCTGCTGGCTGCACACGCTCCATGCCTGTATTTACAGGGAACGGTCCCCTGTCCTGGTTCAGTTACCGGAAAATCTCTTATCCTTATTTGCCCTTTTGAAAGCCAGGGGGAGAGTCTTCCGAAGCGCTGTTCCTGTTCAGGGGCAGTGTGTCATCACTGTAATGCTTCCTCTCCCCACGTCCTTACCCGGGTTCTCCAAAAGCAAAACCCTTAAACACGAGGCCCTGTGCAAGTGGAGACCAGACCAAGGGGGCCCACAGCTTCCAGCAGGCCCCCCGCCACGGCCGGCTGAGGCACCCAGGAGCTGCGGGCCCCCCTTCTGTTCCGGCTTGCCCAGGCAAAGCCGGGACTGGTGCTCATACAAGACGCACGAGGCTGGCCTCCCTTCGCACCCCTTGCACCGCATGGGCAGTCCCCCCACCAGACCTCGTGGGGCACGTTTGGCATCAGAGCCCGCCAGGTCGCAACATGTGGCCTTTCGCTTGCGAATTAATGTGCCAGCCGACTTTCACAGGTCAGGCTGCGGGGCCCTTCGGCTCAGTGGCTGCCGGCGGCGTTTCCCACCGGAAGTGCTGGACGGGCCCGGCGACCTTCAGCATGCCGGGCAGGGAGCCTCAGCCCTGCCTCCTTCCCTCGCCTTTCCTCAGGATTGTTTCTGCACACTAAGCGCCACAAGGACCAGGAGGCTGAGGAGTGGAGGGTTTGCCATGCTGTGAAGCACCCGGAGCATCGAGAGGGCAGCAAGCGCCCTGGAATCGAGAGGGATTCCTGGCCCACGTGGCTCAGCGTCGTCAGCGCTGCCCGGCCACTGTGGCCTCCCCAGCTGTCAGGCCAGGCTCTCTTTCCCAGCCCCACTCGGGGTGCTGCAGCTGCCCCCAGGTGCCCTGCAGGGAAAGCGGGCCCACTGCAGCCCTTCCCCCTGGGGACCCGAGGAATCCCCATCCACAGGCCAAGCAAGCATTAATCAGGGGAACCCTGGGGGGCCAGCCGATCCCTGAATGCCCGAGGCTCTTGCAGCCATAGCCAGGTGCTTAACCTCTGCTTTGCTTAAGGATAGGCTGGACATGCACCTGGTAGGCGGAGCCAGCCAGAGCCGGGGGTCAGGCTAGATGGCCCAGGAGACCCCTTCTGGCTCACTCTGTTCTATGTTTCCCCTTCAGTTCTTTCACATGGTGAAACACAGTTTCAAAGTCCCATCCATGATTTTTACGGGATCTCCATGTGGCCTCCCCAAAAAATAGCCTCCGGGTGGGCACCTCCGGGAGCCTTTGCTTGGCGCCCTGGCAAAGAGAGCGCCTTACTGGCCTCGCTGCCGCCCAGCACCCGGGCACGCTTGGGGGTCCACTCGGCAGCTTCCCCAGGCGACGGGGCGGCAAAGCAGCTGCCCGGATGCCCAGGCCTCGGGAGCCTTCTGCGCTCAGCCCTCTTGGAGCCGCCGCGAGCCGCCAGAACCGCTCCCTTCCCCTCAGTTCCGGGTATGCCTCTCTGCCTCGGACAGGTTTCTGGAAAGAGCGGGGTGTCTCTCCAGCCCCTAATTTGGAAATAGGCCAGCCGCTCGATGGAGGCGTCTTCTGCCCTACTCAGGCTCAGATGATTTCCAGGCGGACACCGCAAGTCGCACTGCAGTCCAGGGTCGCGTCCTGCCTGCCCTCGCAGATGAAGCCCCCCCAGGGGGCGAGGAGGGGGAGCAGCGAGGCCCTTCCGGTTCGGGGAAGCCTTGCCGCACCCTGACCGCTCGTGCTGGCTGGAGGATGCTGGGAGCTGTAGTCAGGAGGGGCCAGGTTGCCTTGCGGTACCGCCTGTGCTTGTTTACTTGAGCGGGAGTCACAGCAGGACGTGCTCCCGGTAAACGCATCTGCAGACGGCCTCCAGCAGACGCCTCCTTCCGGTGGCCTCGCGGGCCCGGCGAAGCGCGGGACGCACCTCCGCGCACACACCGCGGCTGTCTTTCTGTGCACCTTGGAAGCACAAAGCGCCTCCCCCGCCTTTCTATTTTGACTTCGGAAGGGCCCGACTGCATGCGAGGGCGCCGCTCCGATGCCTGCGACCGTGGCACACCCGCATGAACCACAGCAAGCTCGCCTCCCAAATCATGTGCAGAGTACGGGCCAATCCTTCGCGCTCAGGCACACACAATTAATTTACACATCTGAGCATGCGGTGTGTGTGTGTGGGGGGGGCGGCGGCTGTGCTTTCCAGTTGGTAAACGGAAGTCGGGGGCGCCAGCTCGGGTTTGGGGCCGGGGCCGGGTCACCCCGAGGGCCGCTGCACAGCAGACTCGATGCCCCGGACGTGCTGCCGCCCCCGAGCCCCCCCCACCCCCCCCCCCCCGCACACACTGTTTCAAAAGACCCATGTAACTGAATGTCAGACCTGCTCCGCTCCCGAATCCCTGCCTTTCTGCCCCACAGAGGGCTCTGCTTCTGAGCAAATGAATTCACCCCCCCACCCCCGCGGGGAAAGGGACGCGTCAAAGGGGGTTGCAGGCTGGGGGAGGAAGGAGGCTCTCCGCCCCGCGCGCCTGGCCCACCCTCCCCCAGCCCCAGCCCCAGCCCCAGCCCCAGCGATACCTACTGCAGTGGGCAAATCCCAGGACTTGACCCATCGCCCCGGCCGCCGGCCGCCTCGAGGTCCATGCGTGATGCCCGCGCCGTGCGCTGGGGCCGCGCTGCCCTCGGCCGCCGCCGCCGCCGCCGCGGGCTGCTCATCTCTCCTGCCCCATCGCGCTCCTGCGGCCCACCAGCGGGCGGGGCGAGGGCGGCTGCCGGGGCGGCGGCCCGCCGCGGCTCCTGCCCGCTGCTGCCTCCGGAGGGCCTGGGCGAGGCCGCGGAGGGCTGCGGCAGCCGCTCGTCCCAGGAGGGGAGGTGCGAGGGCGAGGAGGCAGACAAAGGCGGGGGGCGGGCAGGGCTGCGGCTGCGGCAGACAAAGCGGGCGGAGGCTGGCGCGGCGGCTGCGGCGGAGGAGCGCGCGCCCGGGCGGGAGGCAGCGCGGGCAGGGGCTCGGGAGCGCAAGGTGGGACACGGAGGGAGCGGGCCGCGGAGGGGAGGCGGCGCCAGGTTAGCTCCCCTCGCGAGCGCGGAGACCCGCCCTGGCTGGCGATCGCGGCTGCCACTCAGCGCCGCGCGGCCCCTCCTCCTCCTCCTCCTCCTCCGCGGCACCGCCGGAGGCGCCGAGCATCTCCCGCCGCTGGCGCCCCCCGCGCGGCCCGCTCCTCCACGCTGCCCCCGGGCCGAGGCGCGCGGCGCGGCGGGGGAAGGAACCCGGGCCGCGGGCCGGCCTCCGGGGTCGCGCCCCGCAGCCTGGCCCCGGGCGCGCTGCGAGCATCCCCGCCGGGCACGGGCGAGCTCCCCGCCTTGTGTACACTAAGCAGGACACGTGCGAGCAGGGCGTCCGAGCGGGGCCCGCCGCAGCCCCCGGAGGGCAGCGCGGGCGCGCCTCGCGCGGTCCGCCTTTCTCGGCCGGGCCCTGGAACAGGAGAGGCGGGCCACGCGCGTGCCAGGTGGCGGCGCACGGGCCGGGGGGGGGGGCGCCGCCCGCGTGCGGGCCGGATTAGGGGTTTAGCGTTCCGCATTTAGCTGGCTTGAAGGGATTACAGCGGCGGGGCCAATGCCGAGGCCAGGGGCCAATCAGGCGCGGCTCGCCGGCGGGCGCACCTGGCGAGCACGGCGGGGAGGGCCCTGCGGCCGCGGGCGCGGAAGGGGCCGGCGGGCGCGGCACAGAGAATGTGCGGGCTGCCCAGACCGCCGCGTCGGGGCTCGGCACGCGCGAGGCCCCCGGCCAAGCGTCCGCGAGCCCGCCCTGCCTGCGGGGCCTGCGGAGTCGCGGCCGCCCTGTGGGGAGCGTGACCCGCGCCCCGCTAGCCGCGACCGGAGACCGCGCGAGGGCGGCGGCGGCGGCGGAGGCGGCCGCTCCGCAGGGGCCGAGGGCGCGGGCGGGATGGCAGGCGGCGGCTGAGGCGCCCGCCCTTCCTCCGGAGCCTCGGGAGGGTGTGCGAGGGCGCTCTCGGCGGGAGGCTGCGGGCCGCGTCGCGCCCGAGCATGGCCAGCTTCGTGCGGCTGCTGGTGTCGGAGGCCGAGCGAGCCATGTCGCGCCTCTTCGGGGCCGAGCCCGCGGAGGAGGCGCCCAGCTTCTTCCTGGAGGCGCCGCGCACGGAGAAGGCGCTGGAGCGCGGCGCGGCGGGCGACCTGCGCTACGGCCTGGCCTCCATGCAGGGCTGGCGGGCGCACATGGAGGACGCGCACACGGCGTGCCCGCAGCTGCCCGACCGCCTGGCGCGCTGGGCCTTCTTCGCCGTGTTCGACGGGCACGCGGGCGGCACGGTGGCGCGCTTCTGCGCCGCGCACCTGCTGGAGCACGTGCTGGCGGCCGAGGCCCTGCCCGGCGCCGACGAGGAGGACGCGGCGCCCGGGGCGGTGGCGGCGGCGCTGCGCGAGGCCTTCCTGGCGCTCGACCGGCGCATGCAGGCGCTGTCGCGGGCCGAGGGCTGGGAGCCCGCGGGCTCCACGGCCGTGGCCGTGCTGGTCTCGCCGCGCCGCCTCTACTTCGCCAACCTGGGCGACTCGCGTGCGCTCCTGTGCCGCGCCGCCGCCGCCGCCTTCTGCACGGAGGAGCACAAGCCGGGCCGGCCGCGCGAGCGCGAGCGCATCGAGAACGCGGGCGGCACCGTGAGCCAGCAGCGTGTCAACGGCTCGCTGGCCGTGTCGCGCGCCCTGGGCGACTTCGACTACAAGGCCGTGGCCTGGCGCGGCCCCACCGAGCAGCCCGTGTCGCCGGAGCCGGAGGTCTCCGAGCTGCCGCGCCGCCCCGACGAGGACGAGTTCCTGCTGCTGGCCTGCGACGGCGTCTGGGACGCCTTCGACGCGGCGGGGCTGTGCGCCTTCGCGCGCTCCCGCCTGCTGCTCTCCGGCGACCCGCAGGAGGTGTGCGAGCGCGTGCTGGACGCCGGGCTGTACAAGGTGAGGCCTCCGGGGGCGCGGGCGGCGGGCTCGGAGCGGCCTCCTTCCCTGCCCGGGCCTCGGGCCTCTCGCGTCCCGCTGCTGCGATAATCTAACCGCTCCGCCTCGCCACCTCTCCTGCTTGGCCCCTTCCTGCAGGGAAGCCGCGACAACATGACCTGCATCCTGGTGTGCTTCCCGGCTGCCCCTGGTGTCTCCCAGGAGGCGCTGCAGACGGAGTGCGAGCTGGACGCTTACCTGGAGCGGAGAGTGGCAGGTTCGTACCTGCGCACTGGGGCCTCCCGGGGAGCCGCGGGGCATCCCTGCCGGCTGAAAGGGAGCGCGTGGGCAGGAGGGAGGGAGGGCCGGCCGGGGCGGATTTGGCCGTCTCGTCAGGCATCGGGTCAAGTGGCGTGGTCTAGTCTGCAGGGGCCGTTTGGGTTCTCCCGTGCAATTGCCGACTCATGTCAGCCAGCAGAGGAGCTGAGCCCCCACACGGATTATCGCCCCCCCCGTGTGCCTCTCGGCAGCATATTCCTCCGTAGCAGACGGGGAGGGGGGCAGGCGCCAGCAAATAACCCCCCCCCCCGCTTTCTCCGGCCCTTGTCATGCCAGAGCTGTACGAGGACCTGCTGCAGAAGGAAGAGGGTCCCAGCCTGGTGGGCGTGTTCCAAGGCCTGGCCGCAGAGCCAAATCCCAGCCTCCCCCCGGGCGGAGGCCTGGCCAGCAAGTAAGTCCAGAGCCCCCCTTCCCCCTTCCCCACCACGGGAGCACCCGGCTGTGCGTCAGCCTCCCTTGATCCTGTGGGAATGGCCAGGGCTGCTCCTCAGGGAGGCCTGAGGAGCGGGGGGGGGGGGGGCGGATATCCTTTGCATCTCTGGGATCAGGCCTTCAGGCAGTTAATTAATGGCGTTTCCTGCCACAAGATGTGAGCTGGGGCTGGGCAATCTTAGATGGCTCTGGAAAAGATCCCTTCCTGGAGGAGCAGCAGGAAAGGCCCGGAACAGAGCGGCCCTGAGCCTGGGTTAGACCCAGGCCCGTGCAGCCTGGCCTCTGCCCCCGCGGTGGCCCAGCAGCAGGTGGCAGGAAACCTCCGAGCAGGGCAGGCGTGCAGGGCGCAGTGCATGGAGCCCCCCCCCCCGCTGGTCCCAGGGGGACGTGTGGGCCAGTGGCCATGGGGCCGCCTCCTCCAGGCGCGTGGCTGGTTGGCACGTGGCCCTGCAGTGTGCTTCAGGCGGGGCGGTTTCCAGAAAGGGGCTGGTCCTGGCGCTGGGGCTTGCTCCTGACCCGGCCCTGGGTGCCCCAGTCCCTGCTCCGTGCCCGTACGTACTTGGTGGTTGTGTGGACCGGCACCCAAGGCGCTCTCTCCCCGCGGCCTCCTCGGACTTCTCCCTTTTCTTCATAAGAGACGAGAGCCAGAGGTGGGAAAGGGTGCTGGGGGGGCGCTGGGGGACGCCAGCCCACGAGCCTTCCTCCTGCGCAGGAGAGCGGTGATTATGGATGCCTACGAGCGGGTGAAGAAGAGGCGCACGGAGGAGCAGCTGCCGGTAAGGGACCCTCGCTCTCTTCCGCCCCCTCCCTCGGCCCCATGCCAGACAGCGGGCTTTGCAGCTTGCCCGGCCAGCCTGCCCTCGCGGTGCCCAGTTGGGCCCCAGGAATTTACGCCCCAGACAGACCAGTTCAGCCCTCCTCCTGACCGGCTTCAGACCAGTGCTGCCGTCGTCGGCGCTCTCAGGCTGGCAGTTTCCCGGCGTGCGATGCATTCGGTGCAGGACAACTTCGCACCCACTTTGGCGTGCCTGTCGCCAGCGCATCGCACACCCGCGCATCTGCCAAGCTTTCCCCATTGTTGCTGCCCAAGCGCGTCCTTTGCTTTGTTTCAGGCCCCCAGTGCTGATGCCAGCCGAAGCTGAGGCCGAAGCCGAGCGCTGGCAGGTCGGCGACTACGGAAGCTCAGGGGCCCTCCTGGCAGGACACGGGCTGCAGGAGTCAATTTGCTGAAAAGCTCTGAAAAGCTAGGGAGGAGGAAGGCCATGGGCAAGTGTGGGGGGGGGGGTCAGGGCCACCCCCCCAGATGGAGGCCAGCGCAGAGTGGCAGTCCTTCTGCTGGGAGGGGTGGCTCTTTTCCTGCCTGTAGCCAGTTTATTCTCGACTATTCCACGCAGATGATAGAGGGAGGCAGCACACACGGAGACTTGCCCCTTGCCCAGCCGTGCCCACCCTCCTGCTTGCCTGTGCAGCCCGTGGGCGGCGGGGCGGCTGATCTTTTGGCTGCATTCAGTAGAGCCTTTTAGATCCTCACAGATCCTTCGACCGCGCTCTTGTTCACCGTGGCAGCTCCTCTGCAGCGCTAAGCCAGTTTTCCTCCTTTTCCCACATGGGAAGCGAAGGAAGGAAGGAGGGAGGGAGGGAGGGAAGGACGGACGGGGGCTTCCCCAGCACCGCCCCGCAGCTTAGTGGCTAGAACATGAGGTGCCATCCCTGGCCAGGTGGGGGCTGGGACTCCTTCCTCATGGCAGGCAATGCTCTCTCAAGGAGTGGCCTTTTCCTTCATCCAAACTGTGCAAAAATGGGTTGACATTCTGCACATGCTCAGAGGCACTTTCCTGGTAGTGCATCTTCCATGCTTGGACAGAAGTACTGAGAACGCACCCAGACATTAGTTCTGGCGACTGTCTGGCGTTTACTGTTGCTTGCATGTATATCCTCGTGTTTAAGACTGTGGAACATCCCGTTGTGTCCAAGCTTCCTGTTTCCCTTTGGCCCACCAAGTCTGTCTCCCGGCTCCCAGGGTTCAATAGCCACCCTCATCCAGTGTGTCAGCAGCCGTCGCTGGTGAGAGCTTGTGTGAGTTCTGAGCATCTGAACATGGTGTGGTTGCATTTAAATTGCATAGCGCGGTCAACGCCCGTCTCCCTTGATTTGTCCCTCGCTGCATTCTGTCTGTCATTTCCAACCAAATGACACTGTACCTACAATGCCCTTGGGCACACCCAGGGTCACAATTAAATATTGCTTTCTTTTTCCTGTCTTTGTCAGCATTTATTTACAAATATGAACACATTAACAACATGCTAAGCAGATAGGAACAAAACCGTAGCAGAGGTGGAGACAGCTTGAAGCATCCGGAAGAGTTTACTTGGTCTGGCCTTCTTTAAGAAATTATCTTTATTTTAAGGACCCTGAATTCAGAGTCCTGGACCTTTGCAAAACCTTCGACCTCTGCCCGGTCTTTCCGACATTGTTTCCTATATTCTTTCTTAATAAAAGACTGGCTTTTAGCATTGGAAATACTTTCCGGGCAGCTGGGCTGACTAGACGGCCTGCGCAGGCCGACCTTTGGAATGTCTCAGCCGAATGCCGGTTTGCAGATGGGGCAGATTGGGGAAAACCCCCCATCCAGGTCCTGTATCAACATGTTTGCTTTTCCAGCGTCAGGTTCGTGAATGCGAGTAGCGTGTGTGTACCTCTTGCTTTGCTGCGCTGCTGTTGGAACACGCGGTTTGGTGGTGCAAGAATACATTTCAGTGGCATTAATTTCCAGCATCATCCAGGATAAACGCCACACAACTCCTCTCCCGGCCATTTTTTCTGCGTGTGTTTCTGATTATGCCGTGCTGTTCAAGGACTGGAAATCGGCAGCATATCCCCCCTGCCCGTTTATTACCGTTTCATCAAGGACTTAAAAATAAAAAAATTAACACTGTATTCAAAACATCTAACACTTTATAGATCTGTACAAAATAGAAGTTACGCAAAATTAGAGAACATGAGCAACTTTGGAGTCCTGTGCCATCATTTACCAAATTAATCCTATAATAATAATTAACATTTTGACATAAAGGGAAATTGAAAGAGACACGACTGGTCCAATAAAGGTAAATTGCCAGTTGTTGGAAGACACAAAACAGTATTTGGAAGGCTGTGCAACATGGGAATTCAGATTGTTTAAATAAGCTACGGACCAGAGCGAGCTCTCATCAATGCCGCTGGCTTGGAGTCCGCTACATGGAACCTGGCCCACATTTTAGTTAACGGGTGAAGCGCAGAAGAGGTCAGCGGCCCCCGCTCGGCCAGGCCTCCCCCACAGCCGTCCACACCGGCTCCGAGTTCTACTTATTGCCGGTAAGAAGCTCGTCTTCACAAATGCCACCGAGCGAGAGCTCCGCGGGGTCCTCTGCGAGGCCCCATTCCTCATTGAAGGAAATTCTTCTGCTATGCCTTCCGCGGATGATGTCAGCCCTGTTTTGAATGTGCTTTCCAATTCCCTCCTATCCAAACCCGTCAGAAAGAAATCTTCAGACGAGCACGGCCTTGGCTGCCAAAGCTCAGGAAGATGGTTCTCCCAGCCTGGTGGGAGCTGAGGGCCGTACTGGGTGGGGATGGTGGCAGTTGTAGTCCCGGTGCATCTGCAGGGTGTCAGGTTGAGAAAGGCTGCAAGAACCGGGACGCACTGGTTTAACAGGAAATGCTCAGAGAATCGGGCACCCCTGTGGGGTGAGCTACAGGGCGAGGCAAGACAGACAGGGCACCTCCCCGTGGAGCCCTTCCTCAGGCCGAAGATCCCTCCCCACTCGGCCTGGCTTGCCGTTCCCAAGACCAGCTCCCCTGTTTTCCACAGACTGGATTAAGGTTTAAATGGCCCTCGTGAGCCCAGAGCTGTGCACTTGGCACCCAGGGAGCCCCTCTGTTACCGGAGCAGAGGCTGCTCTGTGGTTACTTTTCCTGGGTTGGATGAAGGGTTGTGCTCAGGCAGAGGTGGGCTTCCACCACCACCTCCCCTGCAGCCGCCGCCAGAAAATGCTCCGCAGAAGACGGAGGCAGAAGACGGTCGCCAGTGGGCCATGCTGTGGGGGACGGAGGGACCGTGCATGGGAGTCCCTTCTGCAGGAGGAAGACATGCAGAATCCAAGAGCAGCTCCTTGCCCTGAGGAGCTTACAATTCAAAACTCAGCCTGGGGGGAGGAAGGACAGCAAGCGGGAGGCCAAGGGGAGCAGGTGGAGCCCACATTTAGCCTCTTGCTGCAGGCTCACTCACAAGGCCTGTGAATGCCTGGGGGCTGAGCCAAAGGTGGGTCTCTGCAGGGAGCAGACTGGAAGGAAGGCAGGTGAGTAAAAGAAGGCCCCCTGAATGTCCAAGTCTGCGGCTTTGCAGGCTCCAGGGCCAGGCTTGTGCACACAAAGCTGGAAAGAGCAAGGACAGGGGGGGGGGGGGGCAGAAGTGATGCCTCCTTCTCATTTTGCTACTCAAATATTGTCACAAGCCTGCTGATGTTTCGCAAAGACCCAGGAGTGCCCCTTCTCCTCCTCCGCCACTTGGGACGGGCAGCTGGAGACCGAGAAAGGCTTCCCCTGCTGCCCCACTGCCAGCCCCCAAGAGGCGAAGTGGGACCCCTCGTCGCCCCCACCTCTTCCACTCGCCCAGGCCAGCATCTCCCCCTGCCTTCTTCCCCCAGACCCTGAAGACAAACAGAAACCAAGGTAAGGGTAGTGACGTTTGGGTCCTCTGGCTGGGCGCTTCTCTGGAGCCCTGCGAGGTAGGCCAGCTCCAGCAGAGGCTGGGGAAGCCGAGGTTGAGGGCAGGGAGGAGCGTGGGGCGGCCAGCCGGCCAGGCAAGGCCTTTCACTGCCACTCTGTCCTGCTGAGGGGGCCGAGACCATAAAGGGCCAAACGCCCCCGCGCCCTGCCTCTTCCCCCAGCCCGGGAGGAAGATCCCCACGCAGCCCCCCGCCCTGGCCCCGCACCCAGAGCCAGCGTTTCGAACGACGTCCGTTAAGCAGGAAGGAGCACCGCCCGTGAGCCTGTGCCGGCTGCCGTTCTGCGGGAGGGGGCTCTTGCGGGGGAGCCTCCATCTGGGCGGCACCCGTGTGCGTCCGGATGATCTCCACCGGCTTTGCATATCGGGATTATTTGCATGCTGTTTTCCAGGCCAAGCCTCTCTAGGCGCAATTCTGAAAGAGAAGACCTAGTCAAAGTCCGAAAAGGTGAGCAAAAGACAGCCGGGAACATGGACAGGCCAGGAAGGGCAGCCCGGTCCTAGGAAAAGAAGGGCCGTGAGAGGAGCTGGGCAAAAGAGGGCCAGGCGGGCCTCCTCGGGGGGCCCAGGCGAGCCGGGCCTCCAGCCCAGCGGGGCTGCACCCTCCGAGCTCCTCTCCCCAGACGGCCGAGCCCCTGCCGTTGGCTGGCGGTGGTGCCGGAAGGAAACTCTGCTCTGGCGGTGCCCAGAGCTGCTCCATTTCGTGGGCAATTTCGGAGGGGAGACGGAAGTGGAGGGGGGCCCCTTTGGCTCCCTCCCCCCAGAGGCGCTCTTACGAGGGGCAGGAGCACTGCTCTTAGTGCCCTCTCCTCCTCTCCCTACAGCTGTGTGCACGAGGGCGCGGGCCATGGGCAAGGCTGAGGCGCAGGTGCTCGTCTCCCAGGTGCCCAGCGAGCGCCTGCCCCTGCTGGACAAGGGGGCCCCCGGCAGCCCGTACCTGAACCGAGAGGAGGTGGTGAGCCAGGCCGGCGTCGCCCCCTGGCCAGGCCTCCGCAGGGCCCTGCTCCTGCTCCTGGGGGCCCTCCTCGCCTGCCTGCTGGCCACGGCCATCCTCCTCCTGGTCCAGATGCCCAGGCCACGCCCCCCGCTGGCCTGGTGGCAGGCGGCCTCCTTCTCTCGGCTGCCCCCCACGTCCTTCCGGGACTCCGACGGGGACGGGCTCGGGGACCTCGCAGGTAAGGGGGCCGGGGGACCAGCCCTGGCCTGTGTTCATGCGCACGCACTCAGCCTGTCTGCAAAGCACACCCCTTGCCAGGGGGCTACACGGGCGGGGGAGGGGGCATCTGATTCCAGGATAAAGCCTGAGGCAGAAAAATCCAGGTGGGGCAGCAGAGAGGAAGCCTGTGCGAAAGGCCAGCTAAGCTGGAGGGGGGCAGAGGCACGAGACATCTCTGGGCCCCCACAGCTTCCGCAAGTGTCTCCGGACAGCAGGGAGGTGGGACCCCCGGAGCTGCGAGGAGCTGCTCTCCAGCGCTGGCCACGCTGCCGGCCTGGGCTGGCTCTGGCTCGGCCACTGCCCCCGCTCTGCCTGTGCTGGGCCGCAGGGCCGCGCTGCTTTGGGTGGGACCGGGGCTCAGGCTGCTGCGCGTGAACCCGTGGAGGCGCAGTCCTCACGCCGGGGGCAGTGGTCCCCCAGCGAGTGCTCTGCTCCCTTCCATCCTGCCAGGCGTCAGGCAGCAGCTGGACCAGCTGCTGAGACTGTCCATCCAGGCCCTGGTGCTGGGCCCCATCCTGGAGGGGAACTCTGCCAACCTGAGCAGCATTCTCCCTGCTCACGGCTCCCTGGAACAGCTGCAGGTGCTGGTGGACGACGGGCACCGGAGAGGTATGAGAACGGGGTGGCTCCAGCCGGGGAGAGGCCCCGGCACACTGGGCAGAGCGGCTGCCCCATGGCAATGGCCCCGGACCGCCCAGCCCCTCCGCTGGACAAGCCCTGAAGCAGCGGGGCGGGGGAAGGCCTCCCCCTGCCCAGCAGTGGCTGGGTAGATTCCGCCGGACCCGCTCCCAGGTGTGCCCGGCGGCACCTGACCCCTTTCTGAGCCACAAAGGCCTGGCACGCACGTCTTTGGAAGCTCACATTTTCCCGGACTGGTTCCCGGACATCATGCCTTCTCCTGCCTTTTCCCCATGCAATCCGCCCCCGCCCCCAACTATCCAGGGATCCGGATCCTGCTAGAACTCCCAGCCTGGGAAGAGAGGCTTCCTGCTGCTCCTGATGGCAACCAAACAACCCCGCACCTCAAGGTGGTATCACTCTGGTCCGTGTTCTTGTCGCTGCCCCAGAGAATTCCCAGCAGGGCGCTGAGGTTCCTTTGCGGAACGTCCCAAGGGAAAGCGACTCCGAGTTGCACCTGTTTGGAATGCCCAGCCTTCGGCCGGGCAACCTTCCCTCGATCCCAGGTGTGCGGAGGTGGACAGGGCAAGGTAAACTGGCTCCCCACATGCTCAGAGGCACTCTGGCTCCAACGAGGTCCTCTTACAGAGATGCAAGAGGGAGACCTCCATGCATGATGTGGCTAGGGTGGCCAGATGCAAAAGAGGACCAGCTCCTGTGGTGAGATAGTCATGTAGAAAAGGGTCATTTAAGAACGTCAGAACAGCCATCCTGGATGACTCCCAAGGTATACCCACTCCAGCACTGTTCACACGGTGGCAACTCAGCTGCCCCCAGGACCCCGTGAGCAGGATGGGTGCAGGAGCCCCCGGACCGTTTGAGCTGCCCTGCTCTGCACTGTTCCCAGACTGCACCCAGCACCCTCAGCGTGGTCCCCCCAAAGTGAACCCCACCTTCCCGTGTCTTCCCCACTTTCCCCCACTCTGCGCCACAGGAGGCGATGCAGTTCTGGCAGGAGCAAGGCATAGACGGATTCCTGGTGCCCAAGGACCCTGCCTGGCGCCTGGACGCGGTGAGGCACCCCGGGGGGGGGGGAGCCGGGGAGCCTTCCAAAGTGGCACCGGCATTTGTGGGGGCAACTGCAGGGCTGGGGGGCAGCCAGCCAGTTCTGGGTCGGCGTGGTGGATCCCCGTCTCCACGCTCTGTCCTTAGGGTCACGCAGCAAAATGGCTGGGCGTTCGTTCAGCCCAACCCTGCCTTGCTCACACGCGGGTGTCCCCCTCGCACGTCCCCATCGAACGCGTGGCTCAAGGCGAAGGGAACTCCCAGGGCGCCTGCTGTGGCTGCAGGCGTGGATTGGGCCCTGCTTCCAGACGAGGGGCTCTCAGCACTGAGGTCTTTGCTCTTCCGCTGGGGGCTCAAAGGCAGGACGGCAGCGGACTTTTCAGGCTCCCGGGGAAGGTGCGCATGTCTCCGAAAGCAGCGGTCCGTGGTGTCCAATCCACTCCAGTGAGCAGTGGGGGACCCCAGAGAGGTCCAATTGACCTGAGCAGCCATTTGGGGGGGGGGAGGGCTAGAGTTACAGTTGGGTGAGGCAACAATATGAAAATAATAGTATATGTAAGTTTAGAGCACTTCCTGCCAGTTAATAATCCTTAAGGGGGGGGCATTTCTTCTCCGGACAAAATGCACCAACTTTGGGAAACTGCTGAATGATTGGCTTTGAAAAGGTCGTGGGGTGAGGGAAGAGGGCTTTTGGGGGGACTCTGCTCTGAGATTGCAGGGGGGCATCATCCCCCCACCCCCGGTGTCCATGCTGGCTGCTTCTCGCTGAAAGAAGACGGAAGGGGTGTTCCAAAGGCATTTATGCTTGTACAGATGGTACTACTCTTCCGCTCTTCCTTGTGGCAAGAAAAAAATGACAGACGAAACTTGGGGACAACCCAGGAAGATGGCAACGGATGCAGGGCGACACTGTGTGGGACCCTTGCAAAGTGCCGCCCAGGCAGGGCAGGGCAGGCAGCTTTGCACTGGGATGAAGGCCCAGCCGTGTGGGATGCACTCACCCACCCTGTGGCTGTGGGGTGTGACCACAGGTGCTGGATTCCTGGAGCGAGCTGGGCAGCCAGGCGCACCTGGGTCTGGGCAAGGAGAGGTAAGTCTGGGGGCAGCGCCGGGCATTTCTGCTCCCCCGTTTCCCATCTGCTTTCCCGGGGCTGCGAGGCCTCCTCGTGGTCGCGCGGGGGAGCGCAAGCGCGGGGCGTTGAGAACAAAGGGCCCGACGCGGCTTCTGTCCATGCCATCCCCTTCCAGCGTCCTGATGGTGTGGGACGAGAGCGGCGGCTGCGGCGTCCCTCGCCAGGTGCCCGGCAGCGTCGTCCTGGCCTGCCACCTCCTGGGAGCAGAGAGGAACCCGACCGCCCAGGCGCTCCGGCAGCGTGTGGCGCAGGCCTTGCAGCGCCCGAGGGCTCCGTGGCCAAGCTGGATAGTGAGCAGGGGCCTTGCCCGTACTTCGCGGCTCGCTCGGGGGGCCTTGGCTTGTTGCGAGACACAAGGCGCAGCAGCTTCCTGCTCCCTAAAGGGGTCGCCCCTGTTGTGTGGGACCACCCTGGGCTTTTGGGGTGGTGGGTGGAGCCCCCCTGCATGGGGGGGTCTTGTGGCAAAGTGAGGTTTCGCACTTCTGTTGTTATGGCGAAGAGGTCCTCACTTGAAGTCCCATCTGGCATCGCAGGTGCATATTAGCACACCAAACTCTTCTAACCTGGGGCCCATCAGGTGTATCAGACTGCAACACCCATCATTCCCAGCTGGCATGGGAGTGGCTGTCCAGGTTGGGGAAGGAGGCCGTGCACCAGCAGAATGTCAACTGTCGCTCTTAGTGGGGTAATTGGCACGGCCCTTACCTTCTGCACGTCGTTTCCCTTTAACACCCCTGTGTATCGATCCCCCCAGGAACAACACTGGGGGGGCTGACACAGAGGGACACCTCCACCCCCACCCCACTCCTGGGCGCCCTACATCGGACGCATTGCACCAGCTTATCATGCCCATCACACGCCTGTTAGTCTCCGTGGGGTCACGAGGTCCTTCCCTGGAAACGGACCTAGGAGGGCTGGGAGAGCGCTGGGCGGCCGTCAGGGCTGGAGGGGGCAGGGCCCGAATCAGCTTTCGCGACTGCGGCCCCCGCCTTTGGCCGAATGCAGCCCATCCCGGCCGCCGCGTCAATGCGGGAGATGGCATGCGTGGGTCTGGAGCCCGCACCCCTTCAGGTCTCTCTCTCCTAGGTGCCTGGGGGCCCCCCATTGACCGCCGGTCTGGGGGAGATGCTCGGAGTCCTCCTCTTCACGCTCCCGGGAGTCCCGCTGTTGCAAGGAGGAGAGGGGTCTCCCGTTCCCTTGGACAACGAGCGCACGGTGAGACAGAAAGCTACTCCGAAGGCAACTAGCGCGCAATCAGTGGGGCGTGCTCTCTGGGGACCCTGACATTCTGCACCCCCAGTTTAGCCTCCTAAAGCTTCAGTTGCGGCCTAGATTTGGGGGCAGGCCCAGGCAAGGAAAGGAATAGAAACCCTGGATTCTGCCGTGTTGGTGTCCGATTCCGAGTTTATGGAAGCTCAGCTCTCCTATTTACTTGTTACGTTTCTTTGTTGCTGTTTCCTCAAGTTCACTTTGAATGCAACTGTGTTACAGGGAAGGAAATCCGTTTGTAAGGTTGGCAGTGTTGCGATTTGCTGCTTGGGATCAGCCCGCACAATGAGCACAGACCCCACATGGTGGGAAGCGGGGGCGGAGCACGCTGTCTGTCCCCGTGCGCCCCACTGGGATGGACGGGGCTGGCGGTGGGAGAGCCCGGCTCCCCCCATGCATGTCCGCTGGCCTCAGCTTGGGAATGAGCAGCGCACGTCTATGCAGGTCTACGCTGAAGCAAGTCCCACGGATTTCGCTGCAATGCACTCCTTAGCACAGGAATGCTGTTTATCAGCCCACCCTAAACAGGTGGCTGCTGCCTTTTGCATCTGAAGACTGGAAAGACAGGCTAGAATGGCCCCTACACCACACAGAGAACAGAGACATGTTAATGGGGGGGGGGGGGGATAGTGCTGTCCGGGGATCCATTAAAAAGTGCTTGTAAGCAGGGCAGCAATTCCAGGCCAAACTGCCCCCAGGGCAAAACTAAGCATTGCCGGGGAAAAGTGAGCCAGGGTCATTTGCTGCTGTGCGTCTGTCTCCCGTTCTCTTGCAGGGAGGGAGCGCCAACGGGCACCCGCTGAGGAACCTGCACCACACGCTGCTGGCCCTGCGCGCAAACTCCTTCGCCTTGCACGGCGCGGACTCCACCGCTCTGCCCCTGCCCGGTCAGCCTGCGGACGTCTTTGCCTTCCTCCGCCCCGGTTCCTGCTCTGATGTGCTGGTGCTCCTGAACCTGGGCGCCCAGCCCCGCCAGCTCAGCCTGGACCGGCGCAGCTTCCCAGCCTGGAACAAGGTGCTGTTCAGCACCCACCCTGTGCCCCAGGAGGAAGGCAGGCTGCAGGTCTTCAGGCTGGCACCACGCCAAGCCGTGCTCCTCCGAGTGCCTGGCCGGCACGGACCGTGACCGGCTGCCCCAGCCCGTGGGGCCTCGTGGCAGGTACTGCGCTGGCAGCCAACGGGCGTCGGAGGAGCTCTCCGTGGCTGCTCTGCTCTCCTCTCTGCTTTGGCCAGTGGAAGAGACCCACCTGTGCCACCGGCTGTGGGACACAGTGGCTCTTTCTGCACCTGAATAAAGTTGCACGGTTGCTCGGCCGATGTGCGTGATCAGGGGTGACAGCAGTCGTGAAGGGAATCTGCCAGAGCAATAGAAGACGGGGAAGCAGCGAGCACGGCTGCTCAGCCCAAGGCGGTGCCAGGGACGCCATCTGCCCTGCTGATCCAAAAAACCCAGCATTCGGCCCCTGGAAGCTGTGCTACAAGACTGGGGCCAATAGGGTTCCAGGTGTTAAATTGTGCGCCTCCCGCAGTGGAGCGGGGAAGGGGCTGGTATCCCCCGACACAGAGGAGCGGTGGCGATGTTATCTCGGCCAGGCGATTAGTGCCGTCTAGATGGCACCCGCCCGCGTTGGCGCGCCTTCCCCTCCCGCAACGCAAACAGGGCAGAGGCCGACGGGGTTCCTTCAGCTGTCCGAGTCTCGCCCTCTCCACCTGCACTGAGCCTCATAGCTGGCGTGTTTGGAGGGCCAGCTGGCGAAGGCCGCTGCCGAGCAACACCTGCCAGCCGCCCGGCCGACAGAGACCGATCGGAACGGGGCTCCGAGGGGAGTGGAGCGTGGGGGCTCTTGGGCAGCAGCTGGTCTGGTTTGGTGCAAGCCCTCTTTCCTCCTGCTGTGCTCCCCCCAGCACACTCACCTGTCCCCATGGTCTCTTTGGGGGGGGGGCGAGAAAAGGTGGGCTCCGTGACTCCAGGGGAGTGCAGAGAACGAGGATCCAGAAGCCCACCTGGCCTCTGATATTTAATTCTCACAAATTTGGGGGCTGTAGGTAACTCGTGGCAGAACACCCGCTTTGAACACCCCATGCCCCAGTGCCCCCCCATCTCAGGTGACCATTGGGTGATATGAAGGCTTCCCAGCAGTGGTCGCCCATATGGGGAGAAGCCCCTCCCTCGGTGCGCCTTCCCAGCAGCCTGGACCTTCTTTTAAGGGGAAGCCGAGGCCACTGGCCCCATGGGTGGCCAAGGCTGCTGGGAGTCATAGTCCAACTTCATAGCGCACAAGGCCGCATATACTCGCAGAGCCTTGCCAGCGAACCCGCCGCATCTGCCAGGCCCAGGCGGGCCTGCGAGGGCGGGGAAGCGTCTGCCGGGCTTCCCCTGCGCAAGGAGGGCACCGCTGCACCCGAAGGGCCGGGCCGTTTGCCGGGGCGCTCCCTCGCTCTCCCGCTGGCCCGGGGACACGGGAAAAGGGCATTTTACCGAAGGAGAGGACAGCTGGCGCTGCGACGCCCCTTTGCGATGGCGGGCCGAGGCGGGAGCTGCGCGGCACGCCTGCTCCCCCAGGGGAGGCCCGAGAGCCCGAGCAGCGCCCCTCCCGCAGCCGGCGCCTCGCCAGGCACCGCCTGCAGGAAGCGGCCCAGGGCTCGGCAGCCGGGAGGGTGGGGGCGACCGAGAGCCGTCCGAGGGCTCCTCTGGCCCGCGCCGGGGGGCAAGCGGCGGGGGAGGGCGCCCCGAGAGGGGAAGAGCCGCGCAGCTGCCCCGGCGGGAGCCCTCGGGCAGGCGGTCCGCACGAGCCCTTGGGACGGACGCGCAGAGCGGCGGTTGGTTGGTTTTCGCCTTCGCCCAGGCAAAGATTTGCGCTTCCAAACCCATAAAATAAAAGCTGCAGAAATCAAACCCGTAAAATAAAGCAGAACAATACGCTACCTAGCAGTTTAAAACTGCGCTGTAAAATAAAAACCCGAGTTAATGCAACCGCGCGGCAGGGGAAGCGCTAAAGCGCAGCGACGGCTCCCCTCCGTCCATCGGGCGCGGCCTGCGAGGTCTTTTGCCGGCGGACACGGAGCGCAGCGCCACGACCGCCGGGCGGCCGAGAGGGGCGGCCGGGCAGCGCGGGGCCCCCCGTGCCCCCCGCCCGCTCCGTCGCCCTTTTAAGGCGCCCTGGCGGCCGCGCCCCTTTTAAGCGCTCCGCAGCGGTGCATTGTGGAAGGAGGGGGTGGAATCCGGGGATGAACTGTGGCAGGAGCGCGGGCGGGGGGCGGGGAGCGCGCGCGGCGGCGGCGGCGGCGCCAGATCAAAGCGGGGGGCGGGGGGCCCGGGCGGGCCGCGCTGCGCTGCGCTGCGTGACGCCTCGCCGCGGGGAGGG